AAAATGACTGTTAAAAAATAAAACTAACTAAGCATACCTACAACATATATCAAAGTTTGCTATCAAAACTACTTACCTCGCTCCTTACTCCTTCCTTGGCCTGAAAATAAAAGTAAAAGTAGGAATGAGCTGATATGCTATCACATGCTAAAATAAAAATCAATAACTAAAACTAAAAGAACTAAAAATACTATGCTATAAGAATAAATTTAAGTATTGTACAAAAAGTTAAAATTGAAATATATATTGATATTGAATGCATTTAACTAACTAATGAATTGTACTTAAACTAAAATATAAATAAATGTCTTATACAAATTTTCATAATAAGCAATAGACTCCAACATCATAACAAATCTCATATCAGAATCCCACCTTGATTGTCCATTGGCTTTGACATAACATCACAAGTCATATCAAAATTTCACCTCGGCAGCCCCATCGACTCTAGTATAGCACTATAGCACAATCCCACCTTTGTTGCTCACTAGCACAGACATAATAGAATTTTACTTTGATCGCCTACTAATGCGGGCATACAGAACCCCACCTTGAGCGCCCAATGGTGCTGGCTTACAAAATCTCACAATAGCCGCCCACTGGCACCGGCATAACATCACATCACATTTCCTTTACATTTTTAGATGCATTTTATTAATTAAAGAATAATTAGTCAAAAATTAGAATTTGCCAAAATACATCAACGGTGGGCAACAAAAATACAATTGTGCAAAATTTTATAATTTCAAAATATAATCAAATTATCAGAGATTGTGTAAAAGCATTATTGTAAAGCTTTAATTGAATTAAAATATTATTTTTAGATATTAAAATAAATTTTTAAATATGAAAAAATAACTGATTTTTCATAATCACCCAGCGAAAAATTCCCAAAATAAACTCAAAATGCTCATAATTTCAACATCTATAACATATAAAATAAATTACGTTGTAAAAATTTCCTAAAATAAAGTTATCATCATTTTTCGATAATATAAATACAAAATTTGATATTTTTTTTAAATATTAAATTATTGAAAATCGAAATAGGCAAAGCAAACCTCAATCCCTAACTTTTCTTCTTCTCTCTTCTTTCTTCTCTCATTTTTTCAAATCCTTTCTCTGTTAAACGGATTAGGAAGAAAACAAATTGAATTTAATCTACTATGTAAGTGACCTAAGATATTTATGATAAAATAATAAATGGATATATTGATTATTATCCCAATTGCTCATTTGTTTAGCGAAAATTTCATATAATTCTTTTATATCTTTAAATTCGAAGATCCTCCAAAAATTATTAAAAAATATTCAAAAGTTATCTGAGCAGATCTAGATTTATCAGGTGAAATTGTTTGCAAAACAGACATCTAATGATCTCAAAAAGCCTATTTGTGCTAATATATGTTAATTTCTTAAGCAATTGTATCAACGCCAAAACTTATGAAAAAATTAGTAAAACTAAAACACAAGTATATATATGTTATTATGAAGATGGTATGTGATTTAGATTTATAATGACTTATGAAATAGTTTTTAACTGTTACAACTAAAAATATCTTTTTATTTTTAATTTTTTAAATTTTTGTGACATAACACTTATAGTTGAATCAAGTGGCTCGTTGAGACAAATCTAACGAGCTCAATATCACTCGATTTTGATAGTATTAAAACATTTAAATAATGTAAAAATGCTTCATAGTCAAAGGAATTGATATGTATTATATGATGCAGTGTTTTGGATTCTAAATTACCAAAATGCTTGTCCCTAAAGCTTATAAATAGAATCTCATTTTTCAGATGAGAGGAGGAAGAAAAGAGAGAATTAGAGAGCTATCTTGTATTCTCAAGCTATTGCCGCCGAAAACCACCACCATCTATTTCTACCGATAACCACCATCATTGTCGATGATCTCTATCAGTAATCATCACCATCTCCATAATTATATGATAAGATTTAATCTTATTATTGGGTATAGTTGTATGACTATGGACACTTGCTTTCTATAATCCCTATTGAAGAAATTAAGCATTATTTTTTGCAATTAATTGTATATCTATAGACACTTAATTTTTGTTAAGTCCCATAGGAGAACAGAAACATCATATTCTCAATCAGTCCTCATCTTTTTCAATCATGAGAGATGAATGATTATTGTATCTTCTGATATATAGTTAAATTTTCATACGGGACATACTCCATAGTTTTTTTTTTCTTTTCCAAGTTTTTCACGTAAAAAAAAGTATAATATTACTATTTTTATCACGTAAAACACACATTCTAGAGATCAGGACTGTGGCCGGACGGTTGACAGAAGCAATTCCTCCCTTCTCACCGTGCTCAAATCCCTTAAACGTCCAAAACACACACACACACACTTTCTATCGGCTCAAAATTTATAACATGTAACAAAATTATTTTTATTTTTCTTGTTGGTTTATGTTTAACATTGGCTCTAACTTATTTCTCAAATCTTTGATTGAATCATATGTCCATTTTCTCAGCACTGGTTGGTTGGAAGTGAAGTGGATTTAACATATTCCTTTTGTAGTGGTTTTCAAAATATAAGAGGTTGGTTGGACGAAAAAGGAAAGAATCCTAAAATATTATAGTTTAATATTAGGTTTTTTCCTCAAAAAAATTTAAATTTATTTGAGAACTAGTTTGAAATAATTAAAGAGACCCAATGAAGACGAATTTAAACTCTTTTAGGTGCACACTGGCTTTTCCTTAAAGTGTGGATAGCTTTTAAGATCTTATGGGATTATAATATTATGAAGCATATATTCTTTTGTCAGGCTCTTCACATTTATTTTTGTTAGCTGGAATGTATTGGTTATTTTGTTCAGTTGGAAAGGTATTTTTTGTGATATTTCTTTGTTATGGAGCTATTGTGAACCTTTTGCTCGGCTAAATGTGGCACAATTTATTCAACATATTACTTATCATTAGCAATAATGTTACATCTTGTAATATTTGTGGCTGTAGAGATTAATATAATTTAGCGTCCTACGAAGATCAGGCACACAAACAGATAAACAGTTGGGATGTAGCGTTCATAAGAGCCACCAAGATTTTTACTTGAAAGCTTCTGAATAGAATGGAAAACTACGAGGCCTTGCCCAGTTAAAATGAATCTACTAGTGTTTTGTAGTCGATTACAAATGAGGACCTTACTAGGGAGGAAGACCTTAGCTCGTTGTAGAAAATATAAATCATATAGAGTGCATTACATGGTGAGAGTTGGACGAATCATCATTGACATGTTTGTTTGGTCGACAAGATCATAGTTGACGAGCGATGAAGATTAGAAGGACCGTAATCAAGTTACAGAGGTTGGAAAGAACATAGTCAGATGTTGAAGGTCGGAGAGACCGTAGTCTAAAGACGGTAGTCGGAGAGACCATAACTGAAGGGTGATGGAGGTCAAAAGGACTGTAGTTGGTGACGGTGGTCAAAAGAACTGTAGTCGGGTGACGGTTGTCGAAAGAACGCAATCGGTTTGCGATGGAGGTAAAAAAGGACCGTTGTTTAACAATGAAGGTTGGAAGGACTGTAGTCGAGCGATGGTGGTCGGAAGGATCATAGTCGGAGGGCTACGAAAGGTGACAGTGATCGAAAGAAACGTAGTCAAAGGGCTACGAAGGTCGAGCCACTCAATTCAACTATAAGCACATCACATTTGAAAATCATTTGGTCATCCAATTTATGATTTGAATCTTTTCAAATGTGCCTTGAGTCTTCAATTTGGATCCAGTTCGACTATAAGTTTGTTGAATCGGAGTTCGGATGGTCCCAGATTTAATTTTATAAGTTTCCGACTTATTTTTACCTAAGATTAATGCCCAATCATAATTAATTTTTGATTATATATCTACTATAATTTTTATTTTCAGATAAGAATTTGATGGAAAATTACTGGGGTATATGTTTTGCCTCTTTGGAATGGGGCAATGATCAATCAGATAAAATGAGGTTGCAATCAAGTGGAATTTTTGACTCATTCGAGTTGATTGATCGAATTGCATGGTATTTTTGTCACCTTGAACATGGCAATCACATTCATTAGATGAAAATATTATTTTAGTGAATGGTTATGAGTAGGTGTGTAAAAGAATTGAGTTAAGCCGAGTAGTGAGATTATTGAGCTCGAGCTCGAAACGAGCTTAGAAAATGAGCTCAAACTCAAATTGCCCTTTAACTCAACTGTTTCTGCGTACGAACTCACTCGGTCCCCTAACTAAAATGTACGGAAGCTCGAGCTCGAAACGAGCTTAGAAAATGAACTCAAACTCAAATTGCCCTTTAACTCAGCTCGAGAGCTCAACTTGAGTCCGTGAGAGTCCCCTTGAGAAGCACAAAGGGCAACCCGACGAAATCATTGCAGGAGAAGCACAAAGAAGCTTGAGTCGAGGGTCATCAACTCGTTGGAGAAGAAGCCTAAAAAGGAAAAAAAAATTGAATTTTTTTAGTGATATGGAATGCTTTTTTTATTTTTTTGGGGAGAGAAGGCAACAGTGATTAATGATATTAAATGCACCTTAATAACTTTTTTGGTGAAAACTATGCATTTTTAGTTTTTTTAAATACAAATAATCCAATAAAAGAAATAAATTTACTTTTAATTATATAAATTAATAAATAAGATTATTTTGTATCACTAAATATTTTCTTAATCAGACAAGCTCGTGAGTTGAGTCTTATCAAACTCGAACACTAGAGCTTGATACTGGATAAACTTTACTCGTAAGTTTGTTAGCAAGTAAAATTCAAGTTGATTAGACTCACTTAAACCCCTGATCTCCATTTTTTTAAATATTTTTGTTCAGTTTTTATTTTACGTTTTTATATTACTTTTACCCTATCTTTAATATATATTATTATCTTTATAATCACTGATTATTAGTAAAAATATTGGGCTGCAATTCCCTCAATTAAAAAAACAAAGCTGTTTATGCGTACGAACTCACTCAGTCCCCTAACTAAAATGTACGGAATTCGAACCCTGGTGCTCCTTTGGCTTGGTCTGAATCTGAAGCAGACAAAAGCCATTGTTTCTCACTCCAATTCTTTCGTGCATCTCAGGATCGGATACGACTGTCGGAACACCCGAGATATAGGTCTTCCATTGTATTGTTTTCATTAGATCCAGAGCTTCAGCTGTGATTATGGAGGGAGCATCGGGCGATGCTTCCGGTGCTTACATTGCCCTTGCTAGATGGAAGAATGATTTCTCTCGGGCTTTCCAGTACTATCTCGATCGTTCCACTCCGCATCGAGTTGAAAGATGGCTGGGGACTCTCGCTGTTGCTTTGATCTATTTATTGCGGGTTTATTTGATTCAGGGATTCTACATCGTCACCTACGGGCTCGGGATCTATTTGCTGAATCTTCTGATCGGGTTCCTGTCTCCGATTGCAGATCCCGAGGTTGAGGGCTTGGATGGAGCATCTCTTCCCACCAGGGGTTCAGATGAGTTCAAGCCCTTCATTAGACGTCTTCCAGAGTTTAAGTTCTGGTATCTTTATTCCTTTAGCCATCTTTAAGTGCTGTATGCTCCACGGACGTTTATTTTGCATTAACCAATGCTGTAGGTTGACAATCTTTCTATCTGCTACATAATAGGGCAGATTCTTGCATGCTTATTTTTATCTTCTGATATTCTTAAATGACTTGATAGAGTGGGGTGGATGGAAAAAGGATTGATGTGGGCGTACATCCCTAGGTTTAAAAACCTGGAAAATCTAAATATCACCGATTCCTAAAATTTATATTTGTACTGATCTATATAGTGAAATCATCATCTCCATCAAGTGAGTTTATTGCTTTGAACGTTCACAAAGAGAAATGGCAACAAACCTATGCATCTGAAGCCTGGGCTCAAACCGCTTAAAATCTTATTTTATTTTTTTTGTATTTAAATAGCATGTTTTCCCATTCATCTTTTATTGGAATGTTCACTATTTCATATCATTTATGTTGGATCTTCTTGCATTGATGTATATTCTTCAGTACCTCTGTATTTGTACAAGTGCTATATATTTCTCAAGAAGTTTGATTTTGGGAGAGAGACAGTGAATTGTGATCATCTTTTGGAATACCCAATATTTCCATCAATATAATAAGTAGAGTTGTTTGATTATTTATAAATATTGGCATGAATATTCAGGTTGGGGTCAAAATATGTTCGATCCTTGGTTAGCCTCCGTTGATCAATGGGGAGACAAGGAGGTTTTGGCTTGCATCTTGGATTTTTATGGGTTTGGGGGTCTAAATACATAATGTCAGATCCATGGTTAACTTCAATCTGTCAGTATGGAGACAAGGAGGTGATGAACCTTACCCCTTAGTCCCCCTAGACTTGGGCTAAGTGATGGAGACAAATCTTAAATCTTTATAGTTTCAACGCTTTCTTCTCCACCAACTCACCACGCTCATGATGTTTTGACAAGTTTACCTCCACGAACATCATGCACTTTATGGTTAGGACACCTTCACTCCCACCATGTGCTTCATGGTTGTGACACCTCTACTTCCATCAACTCTTCAAGTTGGCACCTCCACCTTTCACCAACTCTCCAAGTTCTTATGGTTTGAACTCTCCATGCTTATGGCTATCACACCAGACCTTTCTCTAACTCTCAATGCTTATAGAGCTGTATAAGTGAAGGACATGTTTCCAATAACGGGTTTGAGGGAGAAGAAATGAAGAGAGAAGGGTATTCTAGAAGTTTAGGGTTTGAAGGAGAAAGAATGTGATGGAAGAAGGAGAATATAGTGAATCATCAAAAGAAAAATTTGGAAAATCGTATAAAAATTGGAAGAATTCAATTTCACTATTTCTTCCACCAAAATGAGGTTCAATTGATTGATTTTGGAAGAGAGGAGAGAAATGAAGATGATAGAGAAAGTATCAGAGTTTTCAAGAAAATTTCAAAAAATTAAAAAATTTGGGAGAAGTAGACTCACCCTTCATCCAATCAAAATGAGCTTTAATTGGCTACCTTTTGGCTGGTGATTACATATTTTTGAATGTTATATATTTTGTTCATTGAAATTCCTATGTCATTTTGAGCCAAGTTCATTATAATCGTGCTTGGCCAATCTATATCATTAATACATGTTTTATGTAAAATTTCTCTCTCTTATCAGTAGATTTGATGGGCCATGATGTTTGTGTCAAATTAGTCAATATTGTCTGGGGGAAAATTCCATGTGTAAATCTTGCTATTTGAACCAGCATAACATATGCTGACATAATTTGTGCGAAATGTTTAAATTGTTGGACCATTGGATATGCTTTAATTTGTGTGATACAATGTTTTTCTTTTTAGAAAGATTGCCAATTTGAAATTATAAGAGTATTCATATTGAGATAAGAAAATATTGCAAAAAAAAAATAATTTCAGTTGGATAAGGATTTATGAAGATTTTGTGAAAGAGAAGAGTATTTGTTATGTGGAAACATTGGGAGTTGATCGAAGATGGCTATAAATTAGGTTCTTCTACTAGTAAGACTTGATGATTAGTTTTTTTGATGGTATGAATATAAGAAAGAATAAAGATGTCATAGTTGAATCCTATTACCTGATTCCTTTGGCTAGTCTCCTTTTTATTGTTGTAGCTTGCCCATTTTCAAGTAACGCATATGCACTAGAAGAAATAAGGTTGAAAGTCCGCTGATTTTGTTAGCAGTTGGGAATAAATGCAAAGATGATAATATTTTGAGAATGATAATCTCAAGATGTGACCATGAAAAGCTTTTGCACTCCATAATTAATAGGAGTTTTTAAAATTTCATTCTACAACAACAACAACGTCAAGCCTTTATCCCACATGTGGTGACGACTATATTAATCCGTTTTCTCTAATGTGTCATATTATGAGTCAAATTCTCATATCATTTCTAATATTTTCTAACCAAGTCCTTTTAGGCATACCTCCACCTTTCTTAACATAAGCTAAATATGTTACATCTACTCTCCTAACTGGGCCATCGGAAAGCCGACGTTTTATGTGACCAAACCATCTAAGATGAGTCTCTTTAATCTTATTTGCCATTGGAGCTACTGAGCTACTCCAACCTGTTCACGTACATGCTCGTTTCGTATTATGTCTCCAAGACGCATCCATCTGGCATCCTCATCTCTGCAACGTTTAACTTAATTTTATGCTTCTCTTTTAATGGCCAACATTCTACGCCATAAATCATTGTATGTCTCACTATCATTTTATAGAATTTTCCCTTAAGTTTGAGGGGAACTTTTTTATCACACAACAAGTTGATGCATTCCTCCACTTCAACCATCCAACTTGAATTTTACTACTAACATCTCCATTTATTTCACCATCAATATAAAAAATAGACCCGAGATATCTAAAATTTGTACTCTTATTTTTATGACTTGATTGCCCAAAGTTACAATCCCCCCACCAGATCTATTACTACTAAAATTATACTCCATGTATTCGGTTTTAAATCCACTCAAACGAAAACCTTTAGACTCTAAGGTTGACCACCATAATTCAAGTTTACCTTCAACTCCCTCTCTAGTCTCATTATCCTTAAATTATTTTTGTCTTGATTTCTAGTCATATGATTTGTATATTTGAGTATGATGACACATACAAGCTAGCTATGTGCTTGATGATAAAGATGATGAAAGTTGAGCTTTGAATGGTATTGTATGTAGTGGTAAAGTACTTTAGAATGTTGTCTCTCCTAAAGAGACATTGAGATCATGGGAAGACATGCTTTCATTTGATGATTTTAGGCAATTCTTTGAAGCATGAGGAATCAACTCCATCTACTTGTTAGAAGTTTGTGAACTCATGATGATGCTAAATTTTCTGTCTTACATTCTTTATTGGCATCCCAAACTCATTTAGTTGAGTGTGTATTCAACCAGTGTTTGCTGGCATGGTTGCTATGAAAAAGTTTTGGTTAGAAACGCCTTTTTAGAATTAGCTTGAATTCACATCTATTGATGTTAGTCAGACAATGCTATTTTAATTAAACATGTTTCCATAGTGGAGGGTAGACGAATATGTGGAGAAAATTTTTGACTGCAAATTTTGATTCCTGATAATGAACTTTATAAGTGGAGAAGAATGATGATGATGAATGTGGTAAAATGATTTTAATGCTCACAAAGAAAGCTATATGGAAGGTTGCGATGTAGATGAGTGGTGAGGTTCTTTATGTAACTTTATTTTTGATACTTTAGGTCATGAATGTCTTTCTTAGGGTACTCTCATGTCATCGTTCTTGATAATAAATCTTGATTAAAAACTTATTGTTATTGTCGACTTAAAAATATTTATTTAATTATCCATATTTTTTCTTGACTTTATTTTAGCAAATAATAAGATAGATGGAATTTTCCCTCTTATGTTACTAGAGTAAATATCATCACTCCTCTGCTTTGCTTGTATCCTTAACAATGAAATATATCATGTTAAAATTTGATAGGCGAAATTAGCTGAAGAAATTGAAACTGAGTATAAAGCTTTAAATTAATTCTCTGAACTTGATGCTATTCCAATGTAACTAAGGAGGTACCTATTTTGGGGCTTCATGAACCCATTTCAAGTCACTGAGATAATTTATGGCCTGATGAACTATTCTAAATGCAACTAATCAATTCAATAAGCTTTATGCTAAATTATCATTCCTAAGCGAGGGTTGACTTTCTCATTATGGGTTGATGAACCCATTTTATTGTTAATCATTTGTTGGTCCCATAATTTTTTTTTTATAATCAAGTTTAATTTTATTAAGCATTATGACTAGCGATGTAAATGAGTTGAGTCAAATTCTTTCTTAATTGAGTCAAACCCCATTGAATTTATACTTAGCTTGAACTTGAGTTCATCTTGAGCTCATTTGTAGAGCTCGAGTGGAAAATGTGGCTTGAGCTCGATTTGAATGCTTAAGCTCGATAAAAAACTCAAGCTTGACTCATTTTTGTTGCTCAATTTCTTATTTTGAATATGAACAATAAATAATTAATTTGGCTAACATAAATGCTGATGCGTTGATTGATATTAATTGAGTCGACTAGGCAATTCAGGCTAAGGTCAAGCTCATATAATATATGAACTTGAATTTACGCTCGAATTCGAACTCGTAACTCGTTATGCTCGACTTGGGGGCTTGTTAGTGAGTTGATTTTGAGTTGGCATGGTTCACTTACACACCTAATTGTGACATATGACAGATTTATGATTTGATAATTAAGTCAAACTCTATGGAGCATTATCTCACATTTTATGTTTTTTTAGACACTTTGTGAACGGAGCATTAATTACGCTCTTAGGTATCTAAATTTTCTATTATAGTCGTACTACTTACACTATGTTCATGTAAGGCGAGCCACTTGTAGTTATAGCATAGCAGCAACAACAACAATATCAAGCCTTTATCCTACTATGTGGGGTCGACTACATGAATTCTTTTTCTCAATTGTGTCCTATTAAGAGTCAAATTATCATTTAAATCTAATAAAGAAAGGTCGT